TGCACCTCAGTACACCCATGATACACCTATCCTCCGCGAGCTGCACTGGCTACCGATCGGTCTCCGGATACGCTTCAAAGTGCTAGTCGTAACTTATAAAGCCCTTCATGGTATTGGACCTGGGTACTTGAGAGACCGCCTGCTGCCAATTACCTCCCAAAGACCCGTCAGATCACACAGGGTCGGCCTCCTCCGGGTTCCGTCCACCAGCCAATGCCATCTGGCTACTACCCGGGGGAGGGCCTTCTCTGTAGCAGCTCCGGCCCTTTGGAATGAACTCCCCGTGGAGATCCGGACCCTCACCTCTCTCCAGGCCTTCCGGAAAGCCGTCAAAACCTGGCTGTGCCGGCAGGCCTGGGGTTGATGAGTTCCCCTCCCCTCTCGACCGGTATGGCTGTGTGATTTTCGTGTATTTTAATTATGTGTACTGTTGTTTATGTTCCCTTTCCCCTTTGAGTTGTTCACTGCCCTGAGTCCCTCCTGGAGAAGGGCGGCATACAAATAAACCAAAACTGAAACTGAAACTGAAACTGGATGAAGGGAAAGAACTTCCTGTTGAAGGGAGGGCAGGAAGCTTTTCTCTATATGCAGAAGGAGCCATTGCACTGAGTTGGAGAGAAAACATATTACAGCCCAGTGCTGCAGTTATCTTCCTACCTGCTAGAGGTATTTATTTACTCCATCATGTGAAGGATGAAATTTATTACTCCATCATGTGAAGAATGGGATTTATCTAGCAAGCAGTAGACTTTGCTTTCAAGAAGGATGTCTTAAAAGGATATGTCATATCTTCAACCAATCTTGAGAGCAAAATTTCTGCCTGTCAAAGAGACTGTCCTAATCTATCTATATCTGGCAAGCAGTATTTTTATTATCTGAGATATTCTATTCTATTATCTATTTGGTTTAATTTTGGTTTATCTTGTTTCTGGTGTTGCGGTGTTGGGTGCGACCTTTGTCCCTTATCAGGGGGGGATTTCTCTTATGGGGTTTTTTTTTGTTCTATGTTAATGGTTGTACTGGGTCACACGTTTGCAGCCCTAGTGATGTATATTGTGTATTTGGGTGGTTTGGTTGTGGTTTTTGGTTATTGTGTGAGTATGGAGAAAGATAAAATGGATTTTTAAGGTGGGGGGGTATAGTTATTTTGTTGTTTTTATGTTTGTTGTGGTTGTTGTATTTCTGTTGTGGTTAGTTACAGGAGGAGTCAAGGGTTTGTTAGTTTATTTTGGTTGGGAGGATTTGGTTTGTATAGAGGTTAAAGGAGGTGGAGTTTTTTTTACTTTGGAGGTGGTGTTGGTTTGATTGGTTCTAATAGATTATCTGAGAAAAGATCTATCCCAAACTTGTATTTTGGGATAGATCTTTTTCAGTCAGCCCTACCCTAGGAAGTAACCAGGTGGCAATAGTTTGCAATCTTCCATGCTGGCTTCCTATTGACTTTCTGGGGAAGCCAATAGGGAAGATTGTATATGATGATTAGGTAATTGCAGAGCACTTGGCAACTTGTTGTAAGTGCAAATCAGGAGTGACTTAACAACCATAAGTTCAGATGCTGGTCATAGTCCCTTTCAGCACCATTGTAATTCCAAAGAGTTGGTGAACACATGGTCATTTAAGCAAGGCCTATTTGTATATCAATACATACATTATATATATGCAAATATAATGGATTAATAAATAACATACAATAAATACAGATGTATCTATCAATGAATCAACCAATTAATCTGCAATCTATTTGCAGAGGATTAAATGCATCCACAATAATATATTATCTAACTTAGATAACACACAAAATATAGCTATTGTGCAAGTAAAACTAAAAAATTATATTACGTCCTGAAAGAAGCAATCAAAAATTAAAAATACTGTAAGAATAAAATACAGAGCCTTATGGTAAATCATTTCAGATTTATAAAAGGATGGTTTGTTTTCTACACACATTTAAACTTTACCAGTATTTTGCAAGCAGTGCTGTAAACCTCCTGTTTTTCCAACAAAATCTATTTATGCCAGACTTTCATTCTCTTTTCATACAGGCTTCTTTACTTTTGTTGTTAGCTGTGTACTTAACATAAACACCCACTTAATTTTTTATCAATTTGGGATCATTATGGTATTATACAAATGAAATATATTATAGAGCTGCTGCTATTATATCTAATTCCTTTTAAATGGTGCCCTGGGAATCCTCAAATTACTACATTTTCAAAAGGAGTATTCACTCAGGCTTTATCTTATTAAAAATCTGCAAATCATATATAAATTAATATAAGATGCTTAACTATGAATAAAAACTGAAACTTAAAAACCTTCCTCAATTGCAAAAGCAAAATTGCTCCATAGAAACACAAACTTTAAAAAAGTGATTTGAATGATTGTATTTAGCATTTGTTGAATTGGGGGGGGGGGGGGGGGGGGGGGGGGGGGGGGGGGGGGGGGGGGGGGGGGGGGGGGGGGGGGGGGGGGGGGGGGGGGGGGGGATTGGTATAAGCTTATACATATTTTCCCCAAAACAATCCTATGAAAAAGAAACATAGACTTAAAATGAGGTTCCACAGGTACAGGTGGAAGCCTAAGTTTAACAACTGAAGTATACTTTGTGGCTATTTAACCGAGGAATATAACCAAAGTTAACCTTTGTAAAACTATAATTAAAATACACACTATGTATTTATTTATTTATTAATAAATATATTATTTATTAAGCTTATGATTCAGAGTTTGAAAACTTATATTTGAAACTGGAGTACAAAATCTTTTTTTTAAACTGAGGATTTCATGTTTTCTATGTGAAGTGACTATGGCTTGCATATTGATAGTGCGAATAACTTTAATTCTATTCTTTCTTTCTTTTGTACTAAATTCAAGTTGTGAAATAGTCATTTTTATTACCTCTACTTCCATCTGGAAAACTGACACATTAATACTTTATTATGCTGCTTTTGCAATATTAAGTGTGCTTGAAATTATCAGTAATAGAGCTTTCATACAAGTTACTTGCATATATAATTATATATAATTTTAACTTTTCTACCACTGTAAGATGAATTCCTAGTTGCTTTAATGTTAAAACTAGCCCATACAAATAATGTATGAATGTATAGATTAAGTTAAAATTCTAATAGCAATGCATGATCATTTCATCGACAAAAGGTGAAGTTTATCTGTTCTCAAATTTTGTGAAGCTGAAGGTCAGCTAGCCATTTAAATTTAATATATTCTTACAGACCCTGATCCAATATTGTATAATTCGCATAGCGAATTCATTACCTGAATTTCACTTACCTTTTCCCTGGAAACAGGCAATAGACCATAAGCTGGGCTCTCCCTGGTATTTTTAATATCCCTAGGCTTTGACCAAGTTAAGCAAGTAGTCATTAATAGAATAAAAGATATAGAATTCCATGCAGAAATAAATAGGATGCCTCTCCACAGTAGGAATAGAATTAAACAGGATGTGTGGGAACCATCAAGATATTTAAAGGATCTGATTTTCCCAAAACAGAATAGCATTCTTCAGAGCCAGATTTAATATCCTCCCCTCAGCACTCCTCCAGGGCAGATATAATAAGACCCCAATAGTGGAACGAGTATGCATGTGTGGTAAATGAGAAGTCGAAATTATCATGCATGTCTTATTACATTGTGAGTTATACAGTGCTTTTAGGTCAATGCATATTCTCCCCTCACTAGAGAGATTACCAGTGAGGCCAGACAATTTTTATGTAGACTGTCTGCTCCGGGATGTAAACCTGGCTACTATGTTTGCAGTAGCAAAATTCTGTGCTTCTGCAATGACCACAAGGAAACAATCAGTTTCAGGACTAAAGATGTTTTCTTACACCAATTTTTCATAGATATCTTGAACAATTTTTAGAGAATCTATATTTATACTTATACTTATCTACTTATTCATCAAGTACACATGGGCACAATCCAAACTATGATACAATGTAAGTTATTGATATGTTATTGGTTATTATTTATTGTTATTGGTATTATCTTTTAATGTTATGGTAAATAGATTCTTGTCTTTTGCTGATCTATGACTGTGATAAACTTTATATTCTAAATTACCTGAATATCCTTTAAACTGATTTGTCAGGAATGAAATCTTTTACAGGCCAATCTCAAGTTTATCCTATTCTGTATTTTACACTGTTCATATGGGTTAGAGAGATAATATTGCCAATGTAACAACTCTCAGCTATTTAGGTGTATGAAAGATTAAACACAAATATAATGCTGAAAGGGCTTCCCATTCTCTCTTCTGCTTCCCCCTCCCCCAAAACTCCATCAAAATTATGACCCAGAATAGCTACAAAGGGAAGATTTGCTCGGCTCACTCTTTAATAAGGACAGTTCCACATTTCTGAAACAATGTGGAACCTGAGTGTTTGAGTAGCAAGTTGAGCATAAATTGGATAATGATTAGTTTGGATTATAATCTTCATAGGTGTCAGTCAGTATCAAACAGGCTAAGTGGGGATAATAATAGTTACAAACTGGTGAGATTTTCTTTACTTTCTAGCAAATATCAGCACCGGAAACCACAGCTACTATTATATTACATACTTGTCGCCATAACCAGAAAGAGACAGCCCTGTTCACCTTTACAGACTCAAGATGAAGAACACCTATACTTGGGTGCTCCGGTACTAACACAAGACTGGGTGAATTAGGGACCGTAAGGAAAAACCGGGGAAAAATTGTGTAAAAATTAGATTTGGTTTACTGGAGGTTTGAGGAAAAGCATTCTTAGCATCCAAAGCGGATTGTGTCCGGGCACAATCTTGACAGCGGGTTGGGATAAGCGTGCCACGGGGAGACTTTGGTCTTCTCCCCGAATAAGAAGATAAGGCTTCTTTCGCTCTTTCCATCGCTCATCCCTCACTGGTTTTCCTCTCTCTCGAGAAGGAGGGCGCAACTTGTGCTACGACTCGGAGACGTAACACCCATATGTTAATTTCATGTATCTCCCCTCCCCACCTTACCTGCCGAGTTCACGGCCGGGGCTGATGGTATAGCGGGCCTCAAAGGACTCGGTGAGAAGGGAAGTCTGAATCTCAGTCAGGAGTCCCCTCCGCGGCTGTGGACGAGGCGTTCGGCTATTGCGTGAAGAAAACCGCAGCGGCCTCTTTTTGTCTGAACTCATAGCTAAAGTCCGAGAAGACGGCGGCGAGAACAGCAGCACCCGCGGCTTCTCTTCTTCTACCTCCCTTTCGCTACCAAGTCAAAGCACACGCCTCACTTCGCCTTTCACTTAATAATTCGAAGAAGCAGCAGCGACAGGCAGATGACAGCAGTTCCAAGAAGAGCAACGGCAACGGCACAGAGCTGCGAGCAACCGCCACGCCCTCCCGCGTACTCCACCTCTCCTTGCTACAACTGACCCCGCCCAAACGTCTACCTGCAGGGAAGAAAAAGAAGGGCGGGACGTGCTCGAGAGTGACGTTGAGCTGTAACCTTACTGACTCGACAGGCCGGTGGACGAACAGCGGCATCTAGCGATGTAGCGCCCAAAAAATCGACGGTTCCAGGGGAGACTGAATTAGTACTACAGGTATGTTTGCAAAAACGAATTAATCTTCAAACGGGGATGAATTTTTGGAGGAAACTATCCAAAATCTAAGTATTGGAAAATAATTTCAGAAAAAAAATATGTTCTTTTCTCCATGGACTTTTTCTTTGATATTCAAGAACTTGTCAAACAATAGAGACCGTATTCTGAAAGTCGTTGAATATATTTGTAAATTTTAAGAAAGATACAACCCAGTTGGGAAAGAATAATGTAATCCACAAATTTGCCACCTTTGAAACGTTATCCAGAATCAATGTTTTCTCTTGTTCAAGTCTGACATGTAATTAATATATTTTATTGTATGATCATTTGCTTCCTGACACATTACATATACTAAATGTATCATTTGCTTCTGTACCCTATAACACCCCCCTTTCAGGTTTTTTTGTTTTTTTTTGCTTTGCCTAAATTATTTGGTGATTAGTATTTATGGGAGACAAAGAAATCTCTCTCACAAATTCAGGGATCAACTTCTTATCAGCAACATGCAAAGTCAGACTTTCCCAGGGTGTCTGACCTTGGAGGCAACAGATTTAAGGTCTTGGCAGCATAGCGCATGCGCACACACACACAGGTTCAGATTGGCTCTACTCAGCCACAGAACATGCTTGATAGCACACGGTGACTTCACCCACACATATTCAGAGGACGCAGACAACTGAGGAGCCAGGAGATATTAAACTGATAATAGTTGCGTTTATAATCTCTTGGGAGAGATCACAGGCTAAAGAAAAGGTACAGGATATGACTTTACATTAGGAAACCAATTGGGATGCAGGGTCCAGTTATGAGATCACTGCCCTGTCTGTTCAGCAGGGAGAGACCAAAGGGTCATACAACGACCAAAGATCCATACAATGCAAGGAAGTGGACCTGATCTGTTTTAGCTCAGAATACTGCAACAAGCTCATTTAAAGAAAAAAAAGCATGCAGCCTTGGGATACCAGGAAGCTTTCAGTTCACCTTGGAATGAGTAAGAAATAAGCTATAGTTTTTCTTAAACTAATTGGCAGAGAGTTTGGATAATTATAGTAAACAAAATTAGCTAGAATAGGGAACTTTAATTGTTATGATTTTTTTAGGTGAGAAGAAAACAAAATTAAATAGTGAACTGCAAGTGTTGTGTCCAACTTTCAGATGTAATTTGTCCCTCTAATCAGATTTTAACTTTCTCAAGACTTTTTCCTTGTAATTTGGTCAAGAAACAAAATTAACCTTATTAGGAGTATTTGAAGAAACCTTTGTTCAGAACGCTGATAAAACTTATAAAGCATTTTATATTGTGGGAAGTTATCATCCAGCCCTCTCCCAGAAAAATGAAATATCCTAGGAAATATTGAAAAGGCAGA